TACAATACAACAACATTGGCCCGCGGTATAATACGTGATCCAGTCCCTTTATTGTAGAAAACAAGCTCTCCTCAAAGTCCTCATGTGTTGACGTCAAGCCAGAAGTTAATGCAACTTATACACATTAATAAACATTTGCAGGTATCGGCGCACTTTATTTATGTAGTCGCTAGATCTTTTCGAGCTCGCTTCAATCCCGGTCATAAGGAAACAAAATGCAATTTTTGCAATTTCCTTCTTCAAGGTTGCCCTGTAAAATTGCATCCCCTTATTCCTCCCAAATAAATGTTGGATCTGTAGTTCTATCAATTTGGCTTGGAAATCATTCATCCAACATTGAATCGTGGGAGAGGAAAAGTTATCTTTAAAGTCTCAACTACTTTTGTCAAGGATTGCCACCTTCTGGCCACTTCGCGTCTTTTAGCACTCAAGAGAAAATTTTGCATACGAACCTCCTCCAACATTTTTCCAAAACAGGAAACCTTCGCTGCACATTTGTAGAGGTACAAGGATCTTGTACGATTCATAAATACTGGAAGCTTTGAGCCTTTATGACTGACTTTCTGACGGAGAATACTAGGAACAAAATCATCAAAGCGCTGGGGAACAAAGCCCCTTTAACGCTGAACGTTGCTGACCTCAGTGGATTTGATTGTTTTTTCGAAGATCAGCAACCGTTTCCATGCATCGGGCCTCAGTCAAGTTTACACATCGTTCCTTAAGCTCCTCTTGCACTGCTTTAACTATAGACAATGCTGTGACAAAATTTTGACTGGAAGATTGCAGCTGCTTCACGACTGTTTATTGGCTATAGTATGTCCACCAGCAGGCAATTTACAACATTTAACATCCAATTGTCCTCATCCTCTTCGAGCTAATGCAGCAGTTCTTTGCCAAGCTACTGTATTCGCTTTTAAAACTCAATGGTCTTGAATTTGAGTTAATTTTTAGCGCTTGTTTTTGCAATAGTCTATCTTTCTGTAGGCTCACTCAATAAATGCGTTTTTTCATTATAACAGAACATAATATTCCTACTTCCACAACTCCTGATCAAAGCAGTGCGTGTCTATATACTGCAATACTGCCCCCAAAATTGTTATTGACATTATTTGTGATTATGAAATGCCCTAGCCAACGTGTTCCAGGCCAAAGTAACGCCTTGTTTTTTAAGAGCGAACAGGTATTTTTAGCGCAAAGCACTATCTTTAGTCCTACATGGGTAATAAGAAACCCTAATAGCCAATTTTCTTAGCTTGCCTCAAATTTTTACAACATCAGTGGCGTAGTGTCCGGGTATTCAAGGTATCCAGTGAATACCCTGATATTTTTAGAAAAAAAATCAAAATAAAGTGAAATTTTAGTAATCTTAAATTTCTTTATGACAATTGTTTGTGGCTAATTTTGTTGCCTTTCAATATGTTGTATTTGATACAGATTCAAAATAGCACGAAATTAACGGGAATAAAGACATAGTAATTGTGGCGAAGTGTCTGGAAGCTGGGAATTTTGAGAAGGTAATATCGAAGATCAAACTACTCAATGTTGAATGGAGATCAGTCACGAACTCGCAGAGAATACCCTAGACCAGGGGTTTTTCAGTTTTTTGAGTGCCTGGCCAGAAAAACATAGATTTTCCGTAGATTTTTTTCGTGGGCCAATGAATTTTCATTTCATTGTCACCAAGCTATGTTAGAGATAAGATAAACCGGTCCACTATTTCTTTATTTTTAAAATCCTTCCAGTGTGCTTATTTACACGAAATAAGTCTTGGAAAGGTGGATGACAGAAGGGAACGAGGGAAGCAGTACTGACTTTGAAGGACATGGTGCTGGCTAGATGCTGGTGGGATTGGCTCAATGTGCATTACACGTCGGATTTACACGCCAGGGATTACTGTTTGGTGGGAAGTAGGCCAAAAACCTCCAAATGTAGCATAGTGAATAAACACAAAAAATGTTTAACACAAAATTTGTTAAGTTTACGACTTTTTTTGTACAAGGTTGAGTCAAAAGATCGTTGTTTTGCCCCCACTCTGCAATTTTTAAGTTGGGACGTTAATCTTTGTAAGACTCTTCTCAGGTCGACTTGAAGTGCTTGAAGTCAGAAATGATGATTGTTGTTGTAGTTATTAGAGAACGCCACAAACCTTGGCGGCAAGAAAAATTTTAGATTGAACTAGTCTAAGAATGATGACCAGAAACTGCATCTAAAGTTGATTTAAACGGGAGAAAGTTATATATTAAATTAATGCGAGGCAATATTTTTGAGGCAAAAGAATTCACTGGGCGGGCTTAAATCTCGTTGCGGGCCTCAGTTGGCCCGCAAGCCTCAGAATGGCTGCCACCAATCAAAATGCTTCCTTTTATACGAATGATTTTCAATCGGCAAGAACAACGGCCAAGTACGCCGAAGTTTATGCAGCGTACAGCCTCATATTTTGTTCAAGATAGTCTCTCTTTGAGGTCAATAAAAACAATTTATGGAGGAGGAGGTCGAATTTTATATCTTCGAATTTGTCAAAATTGGATCATAGAATTGGAATCTTCATGTTGAAATTAGTCTGTGCCGAAATTTTATGTTATTTGGGCCTTCAGGCAGCGAATTATCCTATTTTGAAAGTTTAGCTTTTCCTACATACTTCAATGGAATGTATCTATACATCTATATATCAAATTTTTCACTACAGCACCAAATTCCCGTCAAATCTAAAGAAATATCTAAATATTCAAAACAAAGTAAGAGGCCTTTCACATGAGAATTTTCAGGCCGGTTTGAATCTTACGTCGGCCTGAGTTCAATTTGGCGTGTGGTCAAATCCCGTTGAGTGTTCACATGAGTTGGACGAATTGAAATTCGGGCCGCCCTGAGATTCGGTTTTTCAAACCGGTTTGAAGTTTCAAGCCGGCGTGAAAATGTGAACAAGATTTTTTAAAATTGGCGGGAACTTAACATGTAAATCATTTCTCTGTGCGTCCAGTGTTTTCCAATCTCGTTGTCTTTACCTTTTTTAATCTAAATTGCTTGAGAAACTTCTTGTTACAGCACCTGATTCTTGCATGTGTGAAAACGCAGTATTCATCAATTCATTCCAACCGATTTGAAAAATCAATGTGAACGCGAAGGAAATTAGCTCACCCGAACTGAACTCAGGCCGGCGTGAGTTTCAAATAGGCCTGGGATTTCTCATGTGAAGGGCCTCTAACTCGTGACCTAATGATCCAAACAGCATGAAGTTCTCAGTATAAACTAATTTCAAAACGATGATTTCAAATTTTTGAGAAGGGTCTGTAGATAGTGAGATACAGAATCGATGATATCGACTCGGAACGGTGAAGGGAGACGGAGTGTTTCGAACTTCATCAAAACAACAAATACGATTGTATCTCTCAGAATTATTGAATGTTTGTGTTACTGCTTTGTAACAATCCTCTCTTTGGACCACAAATCTACCAACAGCAAAAGTAGGCTGCACATAGGTTTAGCTGTATGCTGTCCTCGTAGGGTAGGCCAATTTTACAATCGTTTGTTGGTAAGGAAGGTTTGCTATTTGTATTTTGTGATATAGTAAATTTAGAAAGGCTTAAAAATTCCCTTTCAGTTCGCCTAGTGTATTCAAGTATATTGGCCTGAGCGAAAATTTACTAAGCAAAAAGCTGTCGCACGAAAAGTTTTTGTCGAAAAATTGTAAGAAGGGCAAAAAGGCTAATAGCAAATGCCAAGTATAAGGACGGATGGACTTGCAAATGGCTCACTGTAAAGTTCTTGATCTCCTTTGACCAAGGAGTCATGACATATAGAATCTTGCATGATCTCTGTCCCGAAAATCTTCGTCATAAACTAACTGAAAGATCCATGATTTCAGATTATAGAACCAGAAACCGTGGAGACCTGCAAATTCCCAAAGTTAGGTTAGAGTATGCAAAGCGAGGTTTCTATTTCTCTGGTGTCAAAAACTTGATTGATGTCCCTAACAACATTCGAAGAAAAGAATCCATCGCTCGTTTTGAAACAGGTATTAGAGAGTATCTTTCGAACCTTCCACAGGACCCAAACACGACCCCTTGGTAGAGCAGAAATATGCAAAAACTTCTTTTTTTAATAGTTCTTTTTTTGTAAATAGTTATTTTGCTGAATGGTATCTCGTGTAAATAAATAAATATTGATTGATTATATACTGAGCATGCGCTGTTGTCGCAGGATGGGTCGGATTCAGAGATGAAGCTATGGGGTGTCATGGTGGGCAGCTGCCCTCCAAGACTTTGCAATGACACCCTGTCGGAAGTCAAATATAAGAACAAATAAAGAACTGTTGACCCTTTGAAACTGTCAGTTGTGGAATTTACCTTTTTTAAAAGAACCAGAAAAGAGAAATTTCTGCTGCAGTGGAAAGCTTAAACGTTAATCGCAAAAAAACTTCACAGGTTTCGCGCGGCAGCTTTTCGCTCAGTGGAAAGTAAGCTTTAACCGCCATTATGATTATGTGCAGTTATGTGCTCACTATCTTCAATGCTGCCTTTGGGAAAAGGGCTTGGAATTCATTTCACAAAGTATTAATAGCCGCATGTAATGCCCTCCGTGAATATTTTCGACATTCTCTGTCAGCATGTGGCATGAAAGTGTCATGTGTAGCAGCTATTGTGAGCACTTTGTTTATCGTTTACACCGACTGAAGGATATCATAGTACACTAAGTTAGCAAAACCAAGGAACCAAAACAAGGTTCCGTTGACACGGTGGTGGATATTTTTTAAAACGCCATTATTTTTATCTGTTTTAAAAAAGTCTTTGTCTACATTATGAGCGTCCACACCGAAAGTAAGGGAAGAAGAAAATTTGTTTACGCAAAGATAAACCTTTATTAAGTTTAAAGAATATCTTAGAATATCCAATAAATTGTTGGTTTTTTGAAATTTTTCCTCCTTCTATACCAGCCGTTCTGGTCCTATGAACCCTACCGACGATCCTGCGACGCTGCGCAATCCTTGGGGAAGTTGTTGTAGCCTCGGTTCCAGCTTTTCAGCCAACGAACACGGCGGGAATGAACACCATGTTGCATTGCACGACTCGGCCATGGACGAAGGTCGAGATTGCAGTTTCATTCCCTTGTTCTTATCAACCAATCTTGGACACATCTATTTACAACCAGCTTAAACGCAAGCTGCTATAAAGTACGAAGAATGCTGTTCTGGGAGGAATTCAAAAGAGGGCGGTTGCAACACGAACTGGCATCATCATGAAGAAAATCTCAGCAATTTCGTTGCGGTATGTTGCCAACTTCTTTTCTCACCTTATTATTTTTGGCAAATTTGCATTTGTGCAAATTATGTTATTTTTAATGCCAGTGGTTAATTATGAAAAGGGAACCCCCAAATGCAACCTGCAAGCTGGCATTCGTGGTTAAGGTTGCCAGGCGGGCGAGGTTCAAACCAGCTCACTTAGCAGTGCAAAGCAGCATCACATTTCGACTCTTTGATCAGTTCCGTAATTACTGCATTGAGAGGGAAAATTGGAATAGCAATTTAGGAGGGCCGTTTCTTTACATTTAATGTGTGCTTATACTGCAGCATGCACTGGTCCTAAACTTTATGTTGCTGGAAATAGTTGACATAGAATGTCCAATGTAAGAAAATGAGCTACCACATGTTACAACCTACCTTGCAGCTTAAAAGTCAGCAGTTACATTAATGTTTGTAGTTACTAAGAAAGTCTCTTTTACCAATTTTGTATATATTTAGCTGTATTAACTAAAATTTGTCATTGGCTAGCAGTTTGATTCTTGAAAGACAACATATTCACTGAGGTTACACTTTTACCCCTGCAAAAACCCCAGCATGGTTCACAGGCTAACCATAGTTTGCAATGGTCCTACCATGGTTGAACCATGATTCTGACAAGTTCTGACCATGGCTAGTGCCAATGGTTGATCAATGAAATAAGATTTTGCCTGCAAAGAACTTAACTTGTTTGTTCTTTGAGAATGTTGATTCTGGACTGTGTAAGAAGTTACCCTGAATAGAAAGAAAAGAAAAAAGAACAATTGTCTGTATTTGCTATCATTTTACCATGGATGACCAGGTCAAAACCTGATCATTGCTGTCCCATTGCTGAACCATGGTTCATTTCTCAACTGACTTTTCATAAAATGGCGAATAAATTTTACATTGAATAGTTTTGATTTCACCAATTTTCTTTTGGAGACACATTTCCTTGTCCCTTAAGTCCTAAAACATTAATTTTTTTATCAATTTGAAATGTTTTATGAGTATTTTGTCTGACAATTGCTGACGCATTACTGAACCATGGTCAATTTCTCAACTGACATTTTCTAAAGTGGCAAATTACTTTTACATTGAATAGTTTGTTTCACTATTTTTGTGTGGTTTGGTTTCACTATTTTTTGTGGATTTATTTTACTGTTTTTTGGCCATAAAGCATTTATTTCTCTGAATTTGAAATGGTCAATGAGCATATGGACCAACTATTGCTGACCCACTGCTAAACCGTGGTCCATTTCTTAACTGACAGGTTCCTCATCCTGCTTTCACCAAAAATTCTGGCTGCCTTTGAATATCATTAAATTTTTATATTTTAATGGTTTTAGAAATATATTGAAACTATTTTTCACATGATATATATATTTATATAATCAAAGATATATACTTGAGATTTTCATCAGATATGCAAGAATATCAATCTCTGAGAAATATCTGATGAAAGCAACTGACAAGGTACCAGGGTCACAAGAGTGGATTCTTGGGTTTTTTCTCAGATAACTTTTTATTCCTATAACATGGTACAAACAAGCATATCAATACAAGATTGTCAGCAAATTGGAATATTCTATTGAAGTGCTGCTGTACAATTGCTCTAACAGTTCTTTGTGGTATCTTATGGATGCATTACCATTGAAGCCAGGTTTTAAATATTTCAGAATAAAAAAGTCTTGCCAGTTTCATTCTTAGCCAACAAAACAAACTTATTATCTCAAATAAAAGCAAATCAGGCCTCTCGGTTTCTGGCATGTAATTGCGTGCCATGCACCTGTAGTGGTGCCAAGGCGCACATGGATGTGATGCACAACTAGCAATATTGTCCACCTCATCCATATGCGTTTACAATTACTATTTTATCTGCAACATTGTCTTGTTGCTCTGTGGAATAATTTTTAAAGTACAGCCTTCACCATCTAGGCAATCCCTTGACACTATATAAATAATAAACACTGGAAAAATTTTTGTGTTGGTTGTGTGTGATAAAGGATTCACTTTCAATCAGTGTCACCCCATGAGTCACACACCTACTAAAATCGGTGCGGAGAGGCCTGCGATCCTTGTTTTTCTTCCCAGTGTACCTATTAGAGGCCACATGGTGTTCAGAACGTACATTAAGGCTTTTAGGCTGTTTCGAGTAAAGAAATTTTTGAAAAATTTCAAATTTTTTGAACTTTTTAGCAGGTCAGGGATCTTGGATTTCTTCAAAAATCACTAAGTCCTTATTTTGTAAACATGTGCATAATTTTCACTGAAACTACCCAAAATGGTGTTCCGAACATAAATTAAGGCTTTTGACGTTATTTCTAGAAATATTTTTTTACAATGTTCACATATTTTCAGGTTTTTTCAAGTTTCAGTGTGAAACATGCTATAAATAATCAGCATAAATTTCAGCGAAACGACCCGAAATGGCGTTCAGAACGTATCTTGCGGCTTTTTAGGCTGTTTCGAGTAAAAAATTTTTTTTGAAAAGTTTCAATTTTTTTTCAACTTTTTTGCAGGTCCGGGGTCATGAATTTTTTCAAAAATCACAAAGTCCTTATTTTCAAAAAATCAGCATAAATTTCACCGAAAAGACCCGAAATGGCGCTCAGAACGTATCGTGTGGCTTTTTAGGTTGTTTCGAGTAAAAAAAATTTTTTGAAAAATTTCAAGGTTTTTCAACTTTTTTGCAGGTACGGGGTCATGAATTTTTTCAAAAATCACAAAGTCCTTATTTTGTAAATATGTGGATAATATTCACTGAAACTACCCGAGATGGTGTTCCAAACATAAATCAAGGCTTTTGATCTTATTTCTAGAAATATCTTTTTTACAATGTTCACATATTTTGAGATTTTTTCAAGTTTCAATGTGAAACATGCTATAAATACTTTTTCCTACTATTTTCAGATACCACTTGGAGGCTCAACCAAATGTCTAGAAATGATTTCAGAAAGGTAAAATTTTAAGCTTTATATTGTTTCACGTAAAAAATTTTTTTTGAAAAATTTAAATATTTTTAACTTTTTGCAGGTGCAGGGGTCATGAGTTTTTTAAAAAATCACCGAGTCCTTATTTTCCTAAAATCAGCATAAATTTCACGAAAAAGACCCGAAATGGCGTTCAGAACGTATCTTGCGGCTTTTTAGGTTGTTTCGAGTAAAAAATTTTTTTTGAAAAGTTTCAAGATTTTTCAACTTTTTTGCAGGTCCGGGGTCATGAATTTTTTCAAAAATCACCAACTCCTTATTTTCAAAAAATCAGCATAAATTTCATCGAAACGACCCAAAATGGCGTTCAGAACGTTTCTTGAGGCTTTTTAGGTTGTTTCGAGTAAAAAAATTTTTTTGGAAAATTTCAAGATTTTTCAACTTTTTCGCAGGTCCGGGGTCATGAATTTTTTCAAATATCACCAACTACTTATTTGCAAAAAATCAGCATAAATTTCACTGAAAAGACCCGAAATGGCGTTCAGAGCGTATCGTGCGGCTTTTTAGGTTGTTTCGAGTAAAAAATTTTTTTTGAAAAGTTTCAATTTTTTTTCAACTTTTTTGCAGGTCCGGGGTCATGAATTTTTTCAAAAATCACAAAGTCCTTATTTTCAAAAAATCAGCATAAATTTCACCGAAAAGACCCGAAATGGCGCTCAGAACGTACCGTGTGGCTTTTTAGGTTGTTTCGAGTAAAAAATATTTTTTGAAAAATTTCAAGGTTTTTCAACTTTTTTGCAGGTCCGGGGTCATGAATTTTTTCAAAAATCACAAAGTCCTCATTTTGTAATTATGTGGATAATATTCACTGAAACTACCCGAGATGGTGTTCCAAACATAAATCGAGGCTTTTGATGTTATTTCTAGAAATATTTTTTTTACAATGTTCACATATTTTGAGATTTTTTCAAGTTTCAATGTGAAACATGCTATAAATACTTTTTCCTACCATTTTCAGATACCAATTGGAGGCTCAACCAAATGTCTAGAAATGATTTCAGAAAGGTAAAATTTTAAGCTTTATATTGTTTCACGTAAAAATTTTTTTTTGAAAAAATTTAAATATTTTTAACTTTTTGCAGGTGCGGGGGTCATGAGTTTTTAAAAAATCACCGAGTCCTTATTTTCCTAAAATCAGCATAAATTTCACGGAAAAGACCCGAAATGGCGTTCAGAACGTATCTTGTGGCTTTTTAGGTTGTTGCGAGTAAAAAAAAATTTTTGAAAAATTTCAAGATTTTTCAACATTTTTGCAAGTCCGGGGTCAGGAATTTTTTCAAAAATCACCAACTCCTTATTTTCAAATAATCAGCATAAATTTCAGCGAAAGGACCTGAAATGGCGTTCAGAACGTATCTTGCGGCTTTTTAGGCTGTTTCGAGTAAAAAATTTTTTTTGAAAAGTTTCAATTTTTTTTCAACTTTTTTGCAGGTCCGGGGTCATGAATTTTTTCAAAAATCACAAAGTCCTTATTTTCAAAAAATCAGCATAAATTTCACCGAAAAGACCCGAAATGGCGCTCAGAACGTATCGTGTGGCTTTTTAGGTTGTTTCGAGTAAAAAATATTTTTTGAAAAATTTCAAGGTTTTTCAACTTTTTTGCAGGTCCGGGGTCATGAATTTTTTCAAAAATCACAAAGTCCTCATTTTGTAATTATGTGGATAATATTCACTGAAACTACCCGAGATGGTGTTCCAAACAAAAAACGAGGCTTTTGATGTTATTTCTAGAAATATTTTTTTTACAATGTTCACATATTTTGAGATTTTTTCAAGTTTCAATGTGAAACATGCTATAAATACTTTTTCCTACCATTTTCAGATACCACTTGGAGGCTCAACCAAATGTCTAGAAATGATTTCAGAAAGGTAAAATTTTAAGCTTTAAATTGTTTCGAGTAAAAAAATTTTTTTGAAATATTTCAAGGTTTTTCAACTTTTTTGTAGGTCCGGGGTCATGAATTTTTTCAAAAATCACCAACTCCTTATTTTCAAAAAATCAGCATAAGTTTCACCGAAATGACCCGAAATGTCGTTCAGAACGTATCTCGCGGCTTTTTAGGTTGTTTCGAGTAAAAAATTTTTTTTTAACAATTGCAAGATTTTTCAACTTTTTTGCAGGTCCGGGGTCATGAATTTTTTCTAAAATCACCAACTCCTTATTTTCAAAAAATCAGCATAAATTTCACCGAAACGACCCGAAATGGCGTTCAGAACGTAGCTTGAGGCTTTTTAAATTGTTTCGAGCAAAAAAATTTTTTGAAATATTTCAAGGTTTTTCAACTTTTTTGTAGGTCCGGGGTCATGACTTTTTTCAAAAATCACCAACTCCTTTTTGTCAAAAAATCAGCATAAATTTCACCGAAACGACCCGAAATGGCGTTCAGAACGTATATTGAGGCTTTTTAGGTTGTTTCGAGTAAAAAAATTTTTTTGAAAAATTTCAAGATTTTTCAACTTTTTGCAGGTCCGGGGTCATGAATTTTTTCAAAAATCTCCAAACTCCTTATGTTCAAAAAATCAGCATAAATTTCACCGAAACTACCCAAAATGGCGTTCAGAACGTATCTTGAGGCTTTTTAGGTTGTTTCGAGTAAAAAATTTTTTGAAAATTTTCAAGATTTTTCAACTTTTTTGCAGGTCCGGGGTCATGAATTTTTTCAAAAATCACCAACCCTTTTTTTTCAAAAAATCAGCATAAATTTCACCAAAACAACCGAAATGGCGTTCAGAACGTATCTCGCGGCTTTTTATGTTGTTTCGAGTAAAAAAATTTTTTTTAAAAATTTCAAGACTTTTCAACTTTTTTGCAGGTCTGGGGTCATGAATTTTTTCAAAAATCACCAACTCCTTATTTTCAAAAAATCAGCATAAATTTCACCGAAACGACCCGAAATGGCGTTCAGAACGTATATTGAGGCTTTTTGGGTTGTTTCGAGTAAAAAAATTTTTTTGAAAAATTTCAAGATTTATCAACTTTTTGCAGGTCCGGGGTCATGACTTTTTTCAAAAATCACAAACTCCTTATGTTCAAAAAATCAGCATAAATTTCACCGAAACTACCCAAAATGGCGTTCAGAACGTATCTTGAGGCTTTTTAGGTTGTTTCGAGTAAAAAAATTTTTTTGAAAATTTTCAAGATTTTTCAACTTTTTTGCAGGTCCGGGGTCATGAATTTTTTCAAAAATCACCAACCCTTTTTTTTCAAAAAATCAGCATAAATTTCACCAAAACAACCGAAATGGCGTTCAGAACGTATCTTGAGGCTTTTTAAATTGTTTCGAGTAAAAAAAATTCTTTGAAATATTTCAAGGTTTTTCAACTTTTTTGCAGGTTCGGGGTCATGACTTTTTTAAAAAATCACAAACTCCTTATTTTCAAAAAATCAGCATAAGTTTCACCGAAATGACCCGAAATGTCGTTCAGAACGTATCTCGCGGCTTTTTAGGTTGTTTCGAGTAAAAAAATTTTTTTGAAAAATTTCAAGATTTTTCAACTTTTTTGCAGGTCCGGGGTCATGAATTTTTTCAAAAATCACCAACTCTTTTTTTCAAAAAATCAGCATAAATTTCACCGAAACGACCCGAAATGGCGTTCAGAACGTATCTTGCGGCTTTTTAGGTTGTTTCGAGTAAAAAAATTTCATCGGAAATATTCAAGATTTTCAACTTTTTTGCAGGTCCGGGGTCATGAATTTTTAAAAAATCTCCAAACTCCTTATTTTCAAAAAATCAGCATAAATTCCACCGAAACGACCCGAAATTGCGTTCAGAACGTATCTTCAGGCTTTTTAAATTGTTTCGAGTAAAAAAATTTTTTTGAAATATTTCAAGGTTTTTCAACTTTTTTGTAGGTCCGGGGTCTTGACTTTTTTTAAAAATCACCAACTCCTTTTTGTCAAAAAATCAGCATAAATTTCACCGAAACGACCCGAAATGGCGTTCAGAACGTATATTGAGGCTTTTTAGGTTGTTTCGAGTAAAAAAATTTCATCGGAAATATTCAAGATTTTCAACTTTTTTGCAGGTCCGGGGTCATGAATTTTTCAAAAATCTCCAAACTCCTTATGTTCAAAAAATCAGCATAAATTCCACCGAAACGACCCGAAATTGCGTTCAGAACGTATCTTCAGGCTTTTTAAATTGTTTCGAGTAAAAAAATTTTTTTGAAATATTTCAAGGTTTTTCAACTTTTTTGTAGGTCCGGGGTCATGAATTTTTTCAAAAATCACCAACTCCTTATTTTCAAAAAATCAGCATAAGTTTCACCGAAATGACCCGAAATGTCGTTCAGAACGTATCTCGCGGCTTTTTAGGTTGTTTCGAGTAAAAAAATTTTTTTGAAAAATTTCAATATTTTTCAACTTTTTTG